CCTTCTTTCTCTTGTTGGCTGGTACAGCCATACGAAGTCAATTGTCTCCAGTTCAAAGTCGATCTTCATCTTCCAGGGTAAATTTTTCGCTGGTTCCCATGTTAGTTCTCTGTTGCCAACCCATTGCACTAAATATAATTCTAAGTTGTGCACCCATCGCTTCGCGTAGAGTCGCTCAATGTCGTAGAGCTCCCCGCTTCATCCCCGTCGAGCTCGAGTGCCATTAAAAAGTTCCTCGATGGACTTCCACGTTACTTGTTCTAATTTCTTCGTTGCTTAGCGGTTTGTTGGGAGGTTGATGTTTTCTTCAGCAGATAGAAGGAGCCGTCTATCTTGCGCTTGAAGTTCCTGGCATGTTTCTTGCGCTTGTTGTGTGGCGGCATCGTGCCAATTGCCAAGAGACTGCTGCGGTGCGCATTATAAGAGATCACGACCATCAGAACTCTAATATTAGAAGAAAAAAAAACAATGTCAGTTTTTGCAGAATGATTTTTGTTATGTATATTTCTGATATTTAAGTTTGAGATAATTTCAATGAGATGTAAAATTTGTTTTATATAAGAATTAATCAGGTGGCTACCTTCGAGGCGACACAGGAGATAATTAACTTGTCCTCCAATTCTGCGAATTTTTCCTTCTTTTTTGGGGATCTACATTTGAAATAAGCGACTACTGAGGTGCTCAACCCCGACTCATTTGAGATATCGATGATCTTCAGGTCATTGATCTAATTATAAATGCATAATAAGCGTTCGAAGTGATTAACGCCATTTCCACGTTGAAATATTTCACATAAGAGATGGTGCCTAGCGTCGACATTTCCACGACGTCGAGATCATGTTAAACCTTTTATTCTTTCACTTCTTCGCCGGAAAAATACTCTTGTAAGCATTTGATACGGGAACTGGTTTAGTGCGAACTTAGTAGGGTACTGTTTTTTAATTACTGCAAACCCAGGGCAGATGTACTGAAATTGGTTTGAAATATTTTTTGAAAATCATCAAAATCCAGCACCCTAGTACTGGATTATGGAAATTCCTCTATACATTAACCTGGCATGCCTGACCCGTGGATAGTGCTGCCAACGTTGGGTGAACTGTCTGTGAACTCGAGAAACGTTGGTACCAGGTTGGTATTAGTTAAAACAAAACAAAATACTGGTAATGAACTGGTATCTTCGTTTTGTTATAGTTTCCCTGTCGTCTTAGCTTTTGTATACTCCAGGTTTCTCAGCAGAATTTGCCGAGCTTCGTCGTCAGCAAGCTCGCAGCTCAAGACTGAAGAGCCAAGTTGGCGGTTGATGAATTGAACTCTGTAGAGTAGCTCTCAATACAGTTTATTTAACCTGACCCTCCTTTTCTCTAGACTTGTGCTCAGTCTGAGGCAGAAGAAGAAGTAAGCACGTCCTCGGACTTCGTCCTCGAACGGTATCTCTCCCTTCTGCCCTCGAATCCTCATCGCACTCTTGTTTGGTTGGCAGACAGCCTCTGTCTGCCGGTGCACTGTATCCCAGTACTCTTAGGATCTGTTTTACTCTAGTACTTACTATTACAAAAATAGATGTAAGTCTTTATTTGTGCTGTCACATCAATCTGTTCAGTGAACAGATTGATGTGTTCAGCATCTCTGATCGACAGCTCGCCGCCTTCGGGTAAGAACCGTGCTGTCCCACAGTGGTGCTCAAGCTGGTCGGTTCCTCCTGCAGTCGAAGAGAAGAACGATGGCGGCTTCTAAGCAGCGGAACAGGTGGGAGTCCCCGCTCACAAGCACAGCAGATCCGGCCACTTGGTACGTCGTGTGGGAGAAGAGCGTTGTCGGTGAGCAGCTCAGCGTATTGGAGGTCCCGATTGGACGTGGAGTTGGAGATTGGTTTACTTTGTGTGTTTTATTATCGCAGGTGGATTACTTGCTCCAGGCACTGAGCTTCTACCTCTGATGTCTGCCGACGAACTACCAGATGAAGTGCTACTGCTATCGCATCATGGTGTGCTTTACCACCCGACGCACTTGGAAACAAGATTACTGACTACTTCAGGGCGGGATATACGGGTGAGAGGTGATTGTCAAGCACAATGTAGTATTAGTTCGCGAACTAATGTTGATATACCGCAGGGAGGAGGTTTCCGCTCTCCACAGCAACAAGTGCAGCCTTGCTAGCTACCAAGCTCATACGGGAAGCAGTACGTTATTTTATTTCTGCAGTGACAAACGCTATAGTACTTAATTTGCTTTATATTGCAGTGCATGCCATGTTTTCGTAGCGTTGAGTACGTGTCATGTGGGGCGACAAGAATGAAACAAACCTCGCCTGCAACTCGGCCGTGGAGGAGTACGTGTGCCCACCGAAGAATACGTACCCATCAAGTTACCCTACGCTATCTTGTCCCCGTTTTCGTGACGATGCCGAAACTTGGAGATGAAGCTATTCAGAGGCCATGTATGCACCGCACAGCGTCACACTACACGTTCATCAACGTCCACGTCATATTGTAGTGCATCTACGGTACGCAGACGGTGATGGAAGTGCAACCAAACACCAGGGTCAACAATTGAATCTATGGTTTGTTGTTTAATCTAGTTGGCATGCCCAGGGAGATGCAATCTTACCTCTTTGCCAGTTTCGTCTTCTTTTTTCGTGGAAATTCTCGGACAGGAAAGCAATATCCCGCACTAGTTCTGGTGCTAGCGAGCATCTTCGAGCTGTCACAGTGTTGCCGCCAGTTGAAAATGCTCTCTCAGACGACGCAGATGTAGCAACGCAGCCGAGCCATTTGCGTGCCAGTTTTGCCAGCACGGGAAAATCTGCTTTGTTCGACCATTTCAGCGGGTCGTCGTCCCGGCGAGCGTTTGCTGGTCGCTCTCGGTACCTATTGAGCTCATCTAGGCAGTTGGTTGTTGAGTTACTTGTGGCGCTGCTACTTCCACCTCCAGCCTCGGTCTCATGCTCTTCCACACCGAATAGAGCGTCATCCAAGGCCGCTGTAGCCTTGTCTGGCGTTCAAGTATTGAAGCTGTAACCCTGGGTTCAGGCTCTGGTGGAGATGGATCGTTGTCAAATTCAATCCGGCTTGCAGCATCAATTACACCTTTTAACCTTCAAAATGGCAAAAAGGAAATTCAATGCTGCAAAATGTAAAATCAAAACTGCAATCACGCTAAAACGAATAATTTGAAGCCAATCGAATTTGACAGAAAATAAAGTTTTGCATTACTTTCGAGATACTAATAAATTGCGCTGGAGTTCCGAAAGGCGGGACCGGTTCGCGCCAAAAGCAGTGGACAGTAGC